TAGCGCGCCCCGTTGGGAGCCGGGTACACAGGTCCGTGGGGCGCCCCGGCTGCCGCCTGGTACGGGAAGAGCGAGCAGGGCGCGGCCAGCTCGGAGCCCTGCGGCCCGGGGGACTGGAGGTAGTAGCGCTCCTAGCTCAGGCTGGCCATGGAGTAGCGCGCGGTGGCGGCGGCCGCGGCGGTGGCGGCTGCAGTGGCGGCGGAGGGGAGCTCCTCTTCCCCGCAGGGGGAGCCCTTGCGGCCGTCCGGGGGCCCTGGCTTGGCCACTGCCGCGGTGCTGGCGAAGGCGTCCCCGGCGTCGGCGTCACTGAGCATGACCGCGGGGGCCCCCGCGCTGGCGGCTGCGGGTTCCCCGCTCCCCGCCTCGCACGAGAGGCTGCCCGAGAACTTCTTCGGCGCTTTGTCTAAGTCCAGCCTCTGGGGCGAGGGGGTCGCGCCGGGGAGGTGGCCGGCGGGCCCGCCCCCGCCGCCCCGCGCGCTCTCCAGCGGGTAGAAGTGCGCGCCGGGCAGGTTCACCGAGCTCACCAAAAGCTGCTCCCCTAACTGCATGCTTTACGGAGCGCAGACGGCAAGGCTGCCTCTCCTCCTGCGGCCTTATTATAAAGGCTGGATGGGGGAGCCAGCGCCCTCTTCCGAGGGGAAGGTAACTTCCCCTTCCTCTGGTGTCGGGGCTGCCCACCTGGGGACACGGGGGCGGCTAAGGCACCCTCCGGCGGACGCAACCCAGCGTCTTTTCCGCAAGGAAAGCGCGCCGAGCTCGCCAGGCAGGAGGTGAGAACTGATGGAGACGCACGCTCGTTTTCTTAGCCGTCCTTTTAGCCTCTCCGGACCCCCAGGCTCCTCCCCCACTCGCACCCAGTAACAGGAGGACTTGGCTCTCTGTTCCCATCCACCCACCGGCGCTAGCCTCTCTGCCCTTGGCGACTGCCGAGCTACCGGTCAAGTTGACCACTTTGGAAACTTGCAGGCTGTCATTGGCTGCTTTATATATGTGCTGTCAGGGAGGGGTTTCGCGGCCCCACAGCCCCGGGACCCTCCTATTGGCTGATGGAGGTGACACTAATTCAATTAGGCATCTACTAATTGGATCAAGTCGCCTGCGACTTTCTTTTCCTTGAGTCTGATTTTTTTCTTTTTCTTTCCTCTTCTCT